GTCTCCGGCACAACCTCGGCAGCGCTGGAAGGCGCAGAGGTCTGTGGGGCAGTCGGCTCCATCCTGCGTGGCTCGTAGGTGGCCGTGGCTACTCAACAAGGGTGCTCAGTTCCTGAACAACATTGTTTTAAAGATACTTGTCACCTCCAAGGAACACATTTTAATTTTTTTTTTTTTCTTTTTGAATTAATGCCCCGTAACTTCTGATTGAAAGTACTTCTATGGTTGGGTGTTGACTGAAACAGAAAAAAGGTGATTGCTATCTGTCATACTGAAGAGCTCCTAAATGCACAGTTGTCATCCTAAGCATGAGGTAGCTAGACAGCGCTTTTGATTTAAGATCCTAAATATAACAATTGCTTCTCTTAAAGCAAAATTTCTGAGTGTGCTTAGCTTTCAAACACCATACCCTTTCAGTGTGTTCCTCAAAATTTGCCACTGCCTAAAAATTACGCTAGTAGAAGTTGAATTCTGGTAAAGAATGCAGATTGGGCTAAGCAGGTAGTCTGGATTGACAACTGATGCTTTTGTTTTCGTATAGTATGAGAGTTAAAGTGGTGTAGCTGTTTCGATTTCTCTCTGCTGGTGCGCGTGCGTCCTCTCATTTCCACAAACCGGCAAGCTGCTGGTACGTTTAGAAGACCAGAGGAAATGCGGGTGGATGACTTGTTTTGAAATTGTGGTTTGAATTACTTCAGTAGGTTTACCTCTTAAAACCACTTCACTGTTGGAGTTGAACTTTATTTTTTTGAAAGTAACGTTAAAGCGCATCGAACGATAGTTTTGAATATTACTGATTCAGCCCACTTCAAAATTAGCAGTGCTAGCTGAGCTTGCATATTACTTTCTAGAATTTGGTTTATTGTTTGCATTTCATATTCCCTCGTCAGTATTAACCTGCTAATGCTGGACAAGGGTGTACATCAGAATTTTCCTGCCAAATCTGCCAGAATAGTTTTCTGCCAAATCACTTCTTTGAACTCCCTCTAGTTTAGCAGCCAAACAATCCAGTGACGTGGCCGGTTTTCGCAGTTGCACCATCCTGCGTCACCTGTAAGCCCATCCTGACGACGAGTGAAGGGAAGGCGGGCATCCCGGAGTTGCCCCGTGGAATGCAGACACTGATGGAATTCTGTGGGACCTCTTCAGCTTTCTCTACAGCTCTTCTTTGGGATAAAAGGGCTATTTCGGTTGTTCCCCTGCCCCTAGGTGTGTTTCTACCAGCCGGCTGGGATCTCTCTCCCTTTGAAGGCCGACTTACTTTGGTGGGCAGCAGCGTATTGGTTTCAAGAAGGCATTTTGTTATTGTGTGTATATATACATCTGTATTTGAAAAGGCGGTTCCTTACTGGCGCTTTCATGGAAGACAGAGCGAGGCAGCTCTGCGACCGACGTCACCAGCACCAGCGCTCGACTGCTGCAGGGGAACGGGGACGTGTGAGCCCGCTCCCATCGCCGGCCCCATGGGCGTCCTCGCTGCCTTCAGGTGCGTGAGCAGTGGCTCTGTTGTGGGGCTGGGAAGGGCTCGAAGAAGCAAATAGCGACCTGTTTCCCTGCCGCTGATAATACCTTACAGATGTTTAACTCTCTATGCCGGCTCTCTCAGCCCCGGCTGCTCCTGACGCAGGCCGTGGTTGTGAAGCCAGCGTCCCGACTCCTGCCCTCAGCAGGTGACAGCAGAGCTAAAATCTTCACAACAGACCCCCAGCACCCAGCTTTACCCTCCTGCAAACCGGACATTAACGAACATTTTTCACTTCCAGCTTATCCAGATAGACTCAGAGTCCTGAGTTATCCGAGCAAAACTTGAAAAGCGATAAGGTTACTTGGTAAATGTTAAACGCCGTTCCCAGTTAAAACACAGCCTCAGCATCTCCTCCGACTGTGGATGGCGTAGGGGCTGGGTGCACACAGGAGGACTGACTCTCAAGGTTACTGTGTCACCCGGTGAGCTGCTGCCTGCGTTTTCAGCTGATGGTGCTTTATGTGCAGGGGAGAGCGAGGAACCGAACCGAGTGCCGGCCGCGGGGAGACTGGACGCCAGCTGCTTGGAAGATAAGGAAGACAAGAAGTCGCAGCCCATCTAAACTGGGAAAGCAGGGCTGGAGCTTTCCTCGGGAAAGGTGGCTGCAGGTGGCAGGCAGCTAACCTACCTGATTAAAAATTTGTGTTTTATAACACGAAATCTCTGCACAGCAAGCTCCACCATTAAAGACAGCAAAGCCTGACTGATGGGAGCGGATGAACAGAGCCAAGGACTAACCCAGAGGAGTTCATTTTCTAGCAAAAAAACCTGTTGCGGGTTTAATAAAAAATGAAAAGAATCCCTGGCTTGGAGCCAGAGTACGTTTTCTGAAACCCGTTGGCGTTAGGGATGGCTACTACAGAGCAGCCGGCCTGAGGGCGGTGTGGTAGCGCCCTGGTGCATCCAAGCACAGTATTTGCATCCGTTTATATTCATGTCACAGCGTGGTTTCTGAACAGCCTTCCTGCCCAGCCTTGCTCTGTCTGGAGAACCTATGGATCAACTTTATATTTGAAAGCTTGATGTTGCACTCTGCGGTGGGGAAGTGATTGAAAAAGGTGGCCAGAGGGAAGTGCTATTTTCCATATTTATTTTTCTATTATGTCCGTACGTTCTTGTCTGCTGTATCATCGAGTTCAGCTACCACCTCCGGCACTGTCACATTTTGTTCTACCCGATTGCCCGTGATAAAGACTGCGGAATAAAAATGTAACTATTGCTTATGCTGCTTTGCCGCCGAAGAGCTTGTTCTGTTGTGTTGCCGTGGTGGGAAATGCTGGGTAACAACCAAACTTTATTTGCAAAATAAGTGGATTTTCTTGGATCACCTGCTTTTCTGCACATCTGCTTCGAAGAGGGCACTTTGTAAGGCAACGTTTCAAAGGTCAGCACCTCCCTGTTGAAAGCAATTCCTCTGTAAAACATTTTGGCAGCTGTCTTCTTGCTTACCTACTATCTTCAAATAACGATGACAGAGGCTGGGTCTGTCCCTGCAGTGCGGATGCTGGGTTTGGGACTGGCCAGAGCAGACCGCTTGCCCTGCAACCCCGAAAAATCGTGTTGAGGCAGGAGAACGTTCAGCCAGCTCCCACTATTTCCCTTTTCAGTCAATAAGGCGAAAACATCAGCTGCTTTCTCACTTCCAGATGTTGAATTTCAACTCTGACTCCGTGTCTACGCACAGATTTTGACACGTAGAGGGGGGTACCGAGCATGACTTTGCTCTCCAGGACTATAACCAAGGGGGCGGTGAGAGTTGGGAAGCACCAACTATTTTCATGGCCTGGCTGAAACCGTGATTTTCTTCTGTTGGTT